TTTTTCACAGACGTGAGGTTTAGAAGTGTCTGCATATTAAGCCTTCGTGTTAATCTTGAATAAATATAAACTACTCACAAATTAAACAGAACAGTTAAATCAAAGACTGTCTTTTTAAGAATAAAAATCTTTTAGAATTGAAAGTCTTTACTTATATACCCTGTAGATATATTTGAGAAAGATTTATAATCAGTTCATCCATGCACCCATTTTTTCCAATTATCATTGGATAGATCACATGGATAGAAGCCTAAGCAAGGTTGCCCGGACCTTCCTCTTCCCAGCCACCTCCTACAGCTTATCCGGGTAAACATCAAGGTGTTCCCAGCCAGTCAAGTAATATAATCTCTCCAACATGCCTTGCGTCTGCCTCCTTCTGGTAGGACATGCCCAAAATATCTTATCCAAAAGGCAGCCAGGAACCGTCATTCAGCCAGATTCCTGAACCACCTCAACTGGCTCGTTTTAATGTTGAGAAGTAGCAGCTCTACTCTGAGCGTCTGTCAGATGGTTGGTCTCCAAGAAGGCTGATTACTCTGAACTATTGCTTTGCACATATGTTTTGCATAAACAACAGTTAGAACCCATTCCCAGACATGAAGAGGCAGCAAAACCACCCTGTTATCCACTGACCAAAATCCCAATGTACAGGAAGCAAGCCGAGGGAAAAGAAAAATAACCACGTCTTCTTGCTGCCTCTGACCAAGGACCTGGCCACAAGAAGGATTTGTATGGAGATATGAAAATGTGAGAGCTTGTAGAATAAAAAGTGAGAATGTGTAGAAAAAATTTGAACTCAAAAATGGGATATTGCACAGTGGCAGGAATGAGCAGTAGTACAGACTTCACAGTACAAAAAAAATTTAGTGGCAGTTAGTACAGTATTGCACATTTTTTTCCTAATATAAATACCAATAACGTGAAGTGACCAGTGCAGATTGTACAGTGTAGTTGTGAAGCTGCAGGGTAGCTTCTGAGTGCATGCTGTGGAGTGTTTTGTATGTGTTTAAGTGTTGTGGTTCAGGTGTCGTATGGCTTGATGGTAGAAACTGTTTTTAAGTCTTGTAGTCCGGGCAGACAGAC